GGATGTGGTCTTCTTTTAAATTCTAGACATGTCCGTGTGAAGGAGAGCCACATTGTGTCTCTTCATACAGACTGCAGAAGGGGACACTCTCCCAGAGGGCAGGTCCAAGGACCAGAGACTCAGGCTCTGAGCTGAGCTTTGTCCATGAGGGGATAGACACCCTATGAAGGATTAACCTTTGTATTTGTATATTTCCCCTTGAGCTATGAGGAAGCTTTATAAAGCACGCATGAATGGAAAACCTGGCCTGCTCCCACATCTGTGATTTGCTTTTACTACCACTAACATGTCAGAGAGGTCTGGTCTACCTGACAGCCCTGTGCAGCGGAGGCATGGAGAATTAAAGTGAGGCAGCTGGCCAATGCCAGCCTCAGCTGGTGGATGAGGCAGCATCCTGGAGATTAATCCTGCATTCTGGAGAGAACCGAGGGAAGATTGGGGGCAGACATGAGACAGATCCCCTCACTGCCAAGAGATACCAGGTGAAGGGAAGTGACCGTGTTCTAAGTATATGCCTTTCTGTCTCTCACCCCTCATAGCCAGTCATTCACCATGCTTGATAATTTATCTCCTCACCTTCCTTTACCATTACTTTAAGTTAGACCTAAATCGTCTTTCTAGCTGACGTATCATTCTCTTATCCTTTTCAGTTCAGAAAACTCCTATTCACCCATAAAAGCCCAGGTTATAATGACCACCTCTTTTCTGTGGCATTCTCGGACTATCGCAGCCCAGATTTTCTCTGTCTCTGTCTCTCTCACACAGAGAATATACCTATATTCTATATGAAAAACAATTGATCCTCGAGTCTGAAGACCTAGATACGCATTTGAATTATTTCACTTTCACTTTGTAGCTCCGAGAACTTGGGCAAATTATTGATCTCATCTGAACCTCTTCCTTTCCTCATCTATAAAATGGGTATTTACTATCTACCTCATGAGCTATATTGTAAGACTTGATAAGACAAATGTCAAAGCGTGTAGAATATAAGTGCACATCACAGACATTCAATTGTGGAATTTCTTTTACTTCTGATCACATTGTACACTGAGGAGCTACCATTTTCCCAAGACATCCTTTCAGATAGTAAACACCTTACAACAGACACCTAGACTTCCGCTCTCTTCCTCTGTGCCCATACCCAGGTGTCTACAAAAGAACCAGTTGAATAGATGACTATGCAATCGCTGTGACCCCTGAAAAGAAGGTAAACACCTTTGTGAGTTTGGCCCATTTGGTGGAGCTTGGTTGGAATCTTCTTGTTCAGCATCCCCGGTTTGGCCAATTGGCCAAAGTTTCAAGTAGAGGAAAGAGGAGTTTCTGCCCCTCCTCATGTGCTTGTCACTCCTGGTGGTTTTCCTTGAACCATAAATCATGACATTGCATTCTGAGCCTCCCTGGCCACAGTTCTTGGGTGTGGGCACTCAGGCCTCAGTGTGCATGGCATGCATCCAGAGCTCTGAGCATCCTGCCTTCTGCTCAGTCTTTTCTCAGGCCTGCCTTTCCCCATCCTCATCCCCCTGCCCCCAGCCCTAGGTGCCTTGATGTTAACATCGAAGGACAAATGCAGTCCTATATTTCAAAGTCATAAGGCAGATCTGATTAATTTTGGAAATGAACAACAAGAAGATTCATCACAAACTTTCAGGTATGAGCAGCAATAAACAAAACCAGAGCATGGAGCGCTATTTATTTATTAAAACAGTAAATTGAAGGGAAATGGGCTATTTATTTTGTACGATGTCTTCCACAGAAATAATTGGCTCATTAATCACATTCCCACCGTGGTCACGTTTGGAAGGGCAGGCTCGCTAGGGAATTGAAACGGGGGGTGGTGCTTACAGCCCTGGCGGCACATGGAGCTACAGGAAGCTGGCCCCCAGAGGGTTTTTCCTGTGGATTCTGCAGAAGTGTGGAGGCAGTCAGGTAGCTGGGAGGTAGCAGGTCATGGTGGTTAAGACCACAGATGATTGGCAGCAGAGGGCCTGAGTACAAATTCTGGCAACTACTCCTTGCTAGCTTGGGCAAGCTATTTAACCTCTGTGCCTCAGTCTCTTCTTCTGTAAAATGATGATAGTACTGGAATCACCTTGTAGGATAACACGTGTTTAAGCGAGTTGGTAGGCACTGGTATATTACTGGGCCAGGTTTGGCACTTCTATAGGTGTTAGTTGTCATTGCTCCTTCGGTCCAGGTAGAACTTCAGGGTGGGACACTTTGGTATCAATGGAAGCTTCCAGCATAAGGTTACTGGGAGGGTTCCCAGGGTCCAGAAGGGAGGCAGGATAGTATAGTAGAGGATAAAAGGGAAGACTCTACAGTCAGCCTCCCTGGGTTCAAATCCAGCCTCTGCTAGTTATATGTCCTTATCGAATGATTTGGCCTTTCTGTGCCTTAGTTTTCCCAACTGCAAAACAGGGTGCTAATAATAGTGCTATGTGATAAGGTTATACTGAATATTAAATGAGAAAATAAAAGTACTTGCCTCAGTGCTTGGCCATAGAAGTCATCAATTATTTGATGTTATTATTGTCATTTTTAGGATCTCTTAGACACCACTCATAATCCAGTGAGCTCAGCAGGTGAGCAGATGTACTGAGACTTGAGCCCCCTTCCCTGCTGGGAAGGGGAGGGAACCAGAGTTCAAAGAGGGAAGGGAAGGGCTGAGGAAACTGCATCTATAGCAAAGGCCAGCGCCTCAAATGCATCTGGAGGGTTCTTGTGGTTTGGGCAGGTGACCATGACCAAGGGTTTGTGTCCATGGAGCAGGACACAGCACTTATGAGTAGGTGACCCCTTGGTGGTGGCACCCTAGCCAAGGGGGGGTGGCTACAGCACCAACCCAGTGGGCCAAGGTTTTTGGGGATACTCAGTTCCTGCTGGGAGAAGGACATCTTCAGCCAGCACAGCAGATAGGGTAGAAAGGGCAGGATGGAAAGGCCAAATATATAACACACACGCACACTTCACCCATCTCCTGCTCGTCCTTACTGGTACTGCTGCCTATGGAAGTCAGGCCCTCAGAATCCTCCCCAACACATCACTGCAGGCAGCCAGGACCAACTGAATGCCCTCAAACAGATGAAGTCTGTTTGCTACTCCAAGGCTACAAGATCAAAACTCACCCCAGACTCATCTAGGGCATCACAACTGATTCCAAGTCCCTGAATGCTGATGGGACTGGGGCTGTTCATGACCACCCACCTTAGAGATCAGGAGGAACCGAGCCTACGAGAGGCGATCTGGGTCTCAATGACCCCAGAGGAATCGGACAGAAGGATGCAGTGCCAATGATGTCCTCAGAGGACTCACTCTGTAATTGGGGGAGATCTCTCTCCTGTCTCCGCTCTCTTATCAATAAAAGGAATAGTTAAATGTCAAAGGACGTGGTATGGTTAGTGTCCATGTAAGAGTATTCAGGGACTGGGGGAGGGATGCGAGCTGGCAAGAGACGATAGGCAAGTGGCCTGTGATGTCCAAACCAGGGCTAGGCTGAGGGTGGCGTGTGCTGGTGACTCATTCCCTGCTCTTCTTGGCCTGCTCTGCATGGACCCCTGTGGGCTGAATCAGTGGCTCCCCCGACCCCCACCCCCAGCTAGGTTTGGGCAGAGGGAGGCTTTGGTAGAATATCTGATAGCAGATGGAGAGAGAGGTTTTCCCCTCTTCGCATGGCTGTGGTTTCTACAGTGGGGGTTCCTCCACCGTTGGCTGTGGGTCCTGCTGGCTACAGCCTCCAGTGAACCTGGCAGCACTCTTGCCTTTCCTTGCCCCTCTAGCTCTAAGGGTAGGAAGGGCCTCTGCTCTTGTCTCGGGGTGCGTCACCCTACCGTAGCCATGCTTTCGGAGAACTTTGGTTGTTAAACTCTCTTCAGTTCATCTCCCTGCCCCCAGATTCAAGGCCCTAACTCATATTCTGAGTACAGAAGGGGCTTTTCTTCCCCTTGTTGGGGAAAGGGTCAGGTTCTACCAGGGACATTTCCATGATTAGAAACCGAAGACAGACCAGGCCTGTGGAAAGGCATGAGTAGAACGACTTAAGGGAGTAGAAAGTATTGGCAAGAAATAACTCTCATGCTGTCTCTTTGGTTTGGGGATCTTTTCCTTGGAGTCCTCCTTTAGTAGTTCAATTCCTTTTGGAAATCCTGGTGTGCCTCACCGGAACCATAAAGGAACCCGGGGTGGGAGCACAGTGTCCCCTAGAGGCTGTGGTGAGGGTGGCAGCGGCAGGAGTCAGAAAAAACATCAGGGTGTGTATGGGTTGGGTCTGGGAGGAGGAAACCCAGGCAGCTCAAGGGCCACTTTGCTGCCTTTTGCTCATTGACGACTTCCTTTTGTCTGCTCAGTTGTGGTTTTCCCCATGATCCCAGCCTGCACAGGACTCTGGTTTCTTGGTCCTCTGGGGCTGGCTCTTCCCCTGGGCATGTCCTGTGCATGACCATGGCTCGTGGCCACCTTCAACTGGCTGATTCTTTGTGTGTCATGGTGCAAATTCACAGGCAAAATTTGATTGGCCCCAGCTGGTCATTTTGTGCTTAGTCATTACCTACTTGGCAACCAACAAAATACCTGCCCATGGGTCAAGCTGGATCAGCTATGATCATGGCACAAACAGGGTCACACCTGGGACTGTGGTTGGACAGTTTTCTTTAAAAGGGATGTGGACACGGAGGACAATGATGAATGCCTTAGATACACAAAAATTCCCTATCACCTGTGAAGTGCCCACCCTTATCTCTGTGGAGGCCAGGACCATAGCTCTGTCCCCCAACAAGGAAGGACTTGCCTGAGCAAGGTGGGATGAGTGTAGGCAGCCTCCTGGGGCCTGGCCCTCACCACCCCTCCTCTGTGTCCCTGTTCCTTGAAGGAGGGAGCTTCGAGGCTAAATTGTGTCACCCGACCCCAAACTTGTCCTAACCCCCAGTACCTCAGAATGTGATCTTATTTGGAGATAGGGTCTTTACAGAGGCAATGAAATTAATATGAGTTCATTTGGGTAGGTCTTGATCCAATATGACTGGCGTCCTTATAAGAAGAAGAGACATGCATAGAAAGAAGACAATGTGAGGAGACACAGGGAGAAGAGGCCATGCACAAGCCAAGGAGAAGACCCGGAACAGATCCATGCCATCCTTCCTTCACAGCCCTCAGGAGGAGCTACCCCTGCCGACACCTTGATCTTGGCCTCCCAGCCTCCACAGCAGTGAACCAATACCTTTCTGTTGTTGAAGCTCCCCAGTCTGTAGCACTTTGTAACAGCGGCCCTAGCAAACTAATATACCTCCCCCAAAACTTCCTCAAAATAGGGGAGAAGATATGGGGTGCTAACACCATGGCACCAGGTGTGTGTGGCAGCCTGGACACTGGGCTTCTGACACTCGGCCTCTGGATTCACCAAAGGAGGAAGCTTCAAGGCTGGTGCCTGAGCTAGTCATTTAAAATTTTTGATGAGACCCACTGAAGATTTCAGGTAAGAAGGGATCTGATCATATTTGTGTTTCAGAAAGACCCTTGTAACTATCACAGTGTGGAGGACAGATGAATTGGGGAGGCTGTCCACGAGAGTGCTGAAGAGGTTTGGAGAAGATTTCAGAGTTGTTTCGGAGGCATCACTGCCATAATGTACTGAGGGCAAGAAGGGGTGTTGGGGGGTGATGACGGGAAGAGCTTAGTTGCAAGGAGTGTCTGGCTTGAGCACCTGGTGGAGGTGGTGCTGGTCCTGGTCCCTGGGCCGGGCCTTGTGGGGGCCCTCAGATCAGCACTGTCTGCATTATGGCCACACACCTGCCCAGGGCCCATCAGCAGTGGGAGATCAAGCCTGGAGCTTAGAGGAGAGCTCTGGGGGTGTACACATGGATCTGGATATCACTGGTGTCCAGGTGCAGATGGGCCATGGGTGGGGACCATCCAAAGGAGTGGGTTTAAGCTGCTTCTCCCAGAAGCAGACTCAGGGACAAGCATTTGGGAGGTGACTGGGACAAGTGCAGAGGAGTGAGGGATATGAGGGAGGAAAGGGAGGAAAGGCCAGGGGCATTCAGGAGTAACTGGGTCCCTCGGGACCTCCCATTTGCACCCCTGAAGGGTGAGGAGGCCTTTCCCTTGTTGGCTGGGGGTTGTTCCTATGAACCAAACTCTCTAATACTTCCAGTCTGCCCTGCACGGGCTAAGCAGGTGCCTATGGCCAGAGAAAGGCCTCAGGCAGAGATGTAGGCTGCTGGAGCTATATGACTGTTGACAGTGACTTTTTTTTTCTTTTTTTGAGACAGAGTCTCACACTGCCCAGGCTGGAGTGCCGTGGCACGATCTTGGCTCACTGCAGCCTCAACCTACTCGACTCCTGGGTTCAAGTGATTCTTGTGCCTCACCCTTCTGAGTAGCTGGGATTACAGGTACCCACCACCACACCTAGCTAATTTTTATATTTTTAGTAGAGACAGGTTTCACCATGTTGGCCAGGCTAGTCTCGAACCCCTGACCTCAGGTTATCCACCCACCTTGGTCTCCCAAAGTGCTGGGATTACAGGCGTGAGTCACCTAGCTTGGCTGGCAGTGACTTTGAGTCTGGCCAGAATACAATCAGTGCACTCTGGCTTCTGCCATTGTTGCTGCTGACAATTGTGTCCATCTTCTGGGGGTGGGGGGTGTGAGGAGCCCATTCTCTTCTTTCATTACTCATAACAGAGGGGACCATGGACAGGAACTAGGCGAGGGCTGGGGGCTGAGTAAGGGAACTGGGTGGTGGGCCAGGCACCAGGGCTGGCTGAATAGGAGATCTTACAGCACAGGCTAAAAGAGTCCTTTCCAGTATCAGGGAAGGCAGTGGAAGCAGGAGACACAGGTGTTTAATGTGCAAATCATTAAGAAAAAACCAATTTCACTCCAGCATGTTCAGAGAGCCCCTAAACAGCCGATATTAGCTTGCAGCAGCAGCTGGCTGAGGCTGGGACAGGGTCAGGCTGGATGTGGGCTGGGGCCTCCTCACCCTCTTTGCTCCTTTGTGCTCTGACCTCCTGCCTCTGCCCCAGCCCCACCAGAACCTCTGCTGCTTATAACTCTGAGATATGGAGATCCTGGACTGGCCATATGGTTCCCACTCCCAGGAGGTCAGTGTCCTCAGGGGCCATGTTGGGACCTCCTCTTCCCCCTGGTCATCCAGACCAAGGGAAATGGTGAGCTGGTGTCTCAGGAGGGAGCTGCTCCCCTGCCCTGTTTTCATTGCCCCCAGGTTGGCTTACACGGGAGGCTGCTGCTCTCAGGCTGGCCCCTCAGGGTGTAGATATCACTGGGAGTGGGCTGATGTTGGGTGCATTTACAGGAGGACAGGGGTGTGTGAAACTTGTAGGTATGTGGCTATAGGCAGCAGTGAGAACAGGTGCCTCCAGGCAGGTGGTAGAGACACAAGTGGGTGTTAACATAGGTGAGGTGGGATATGGACATTTACAGGCATGGCCAAGTGTGAGTGTAGATGGTAGCAAGGTGTGGATCTCAGCGACAGCAACTGGGTGTCAGGATGCCAATGGATGAAGTAATAATAGCTAAGACTTTATAGCACTTACAATGTACCCATTACTGTTCTGTTTCATATAGATTTATTCGTGACTTTCACAACCCCATAAAAGATACCCTATTAGTATGCCCACTCTTTGAGGAGAGGGAGCAGAAGCACAAAGAGGTCAAGAGCTGCCCAAGATCACCTAGCTAGTAAGTGGCAGGGACAGGACTTGAACCCAGGCTGTCTGGCTCCAACGTTCAGTCTCAGTCCTCTGCACCAGGGATGCGGGGTGGAGAGTGAAGGTGTGATGTAGGTGGGTGCAGGCATGAGGAGGTACAGTAGCATGAAAGGCTGTTGTTGAAGACAGACGCCTAGGCACACATAAGAGGGAGGGTGGTGCAGGGCAGTGGTTCTCAGCCTTCCACAGGGAATCAGAATCACCTGGAGGGCTTGTTATACCGCGGATCGTTTCTGCTTCCAGAGGTCTGGGATGGGGCCCCAGACATGCATTTCTAGTAAGTTTCCAGCTGATGCCGCTAGTTTAGGGACTTTGGGAACACTGGGGCAGGGCATTGATGCAAGGGAGATTGTGGAAGTAGTGACTTCGAGGTGAAGAAAGCTGGGTAGAGTGAGATGTAACAGAGTGAATGTAGGAGCATGGGACGGCTTCAGTCAGAGGGAGATGCCCCTTGGAATAAGCACAGGGATGAGTATAGTCCAGTTCTGTATGGAAGGAAGTACAGGGGAAGAGGATATTGGAGCCCTGGCTTTGAGGGCATGGCAAAGGCAGTGCCTGCAACCCCTGGGGAGCCTCTTTCCTCTTGAGGCTCCTGCTCCCTGTGTTGACCCCCGGGTGGTAGGTGTGGCCAGCCTGGAGAATGTCTGGCTGTCCTTTCATTGGTCTGCAGTAGAGCCCAAGGGGCTGTTTAGGGAGTTAAGTGTGAACTTGAAGGGGAATCTATGATATGGCCTGGGGACCCCTGGGCTGGATAGATTTCTGGGTATGCTAGAGTGCCTGAGACAACAGGCTCTCTTCCCTTGGGGGTTCCATAGGTCCAGGGGGTTCCACCATGCTCATCAGTTTTCAACTATAAATTACTGATCCAGAGTAGGAGAATCCCCGGGGGAAGAGGACTAAGGGAAGGTGAGGATGGAGGGTGGGGGCTGAAACCTCTGCAGAAAGGGCTTCCTGTCTTAGCACCTGTTATTGGTCATTGCTCTGCTGTGAGCTAGGGAGCTGGAGGGGGTGCTGGGCAGGGGGATGGGGGGAGTCCTTCAAACCTGAAAAAGGGGATTCCCCCAACCAGAAGCAGCGCTGCTGGACTGCAGCAAGGAACATCCTGCTGAAGCTGTTGGAGGAACTGCGAGTTGGGCAGCAGGCTCTGAGAAAGAAGATTCCACTCTGGCGCTGCTGCTCTCCTGAGGCTGGCCCAGGGGGGCTGACCTGGAGCCCTACATGAGTGAGCCAGGTGCTAAGGGCTGAACTGAGCCCCCCAAAAGGATATGGTAAGGTCCTCATCCCCAGTACCTCAGAACGTGACCTTATTTGGAGATAATCTTTACAGAGGTAATCAAGTTAAATGAGGTTGTTAGGGTGGCCTGTCATTCAACATGACTGGGTCCTCCTAAAGATGGGAAATTTGGGCCCCAGAGACAGACACATACAGAGGGAAGACAACGTAAAGACACGGGGGAGAGAAGATGGCCATTGCCCCGCCAGGGAAGGCCTGAGACTACGAGGAGCCAGAAGAGAGGCCTGGAGCAGATTCCCCTCCCAGCCCACAGAAGGAACCAGCCCTGCCAACACCTTGATTTTGGACTCCTAGCTTCCCTAACGGTGAGACGATCATTTTCTGTTGTGTGAGTGGCCCAGCGTGTGGAGATCTGTTATGGCAGCTGAAGGAAACTGAAAACCCCTGATTCATGGGAGGAGCCTGAGCAGTCTTGGCAATTGGACACAGGCAGTGTCCTGACGAGGGGCTGGGCGGGGGCAGCTCTGCGGGGTAAAGGAGGTGGTAAGTTGGCGACTTCGGGAGAAGGCAGGGTGGCCTGAAGTCCAGCAGACAACACTCCAGTGGCCAGTGAGCAACTGTGGTTCCTCAGGAATGAAGGGCTGCAGGTATCTTCCAGAGGGGCACTTGCCATGGGAGAGGCAGAGTGGACCTTCCCTCTGGGTTGGAACCTGAGGTCATAGTGCCCTTCTTGCTGCCTTGGGTCTAAGGAAAGAGCTGGCAGCTTGCACAACAAGCTCCCACTGAGTGCTGGTCATTAAAACTCCCTTTCTGAAGGACGAGAAGCCAGAAGGGCACACAGGGACACATTTTTGGCTACGAGAACTCCAAGTTCAAAGGAGCCAGGCATGAATCTCCACAGAGTACCAAATGACTGCAAAACTCTTTTCTTAATAATATTTTATTGTCAGTTATAAATATTTTCCATTTATCACCTATTTACAACTGCAAAATAGTTTGATATCATACCATCACCCACCAATCAGCGTCTTTCTATAAACTCCACGAAAATTGAATAGGAAATAAAAAGCTCTTCTTGGGGGCCCACTAACCTGGTTCCCCTGACTCCAACCCCACACGGACAGCAGGCAGCGTTGCAGTAGGTGCTACACAGTAGCAAAGAGGCAGCCGGAAGTGGCCCAAGTGGGTCAGGACGCCAGGCTCCTCAGGACATTGGTGACGCTCCAGTGCTGGCCCGAGCACTCCTGCAACACCAGCTGGAAGCCGAACTCCAGCTCGCTGTTCTCCTGCAGCTCCAGACAGCGCTTGGACTTGCGGTTCTGGATGGCTCCTCCCTAGGGGCCAGGGCAGAGAGTGGGGTCAGAGGGCATAGAGGCAACACACGGAGATTCAGGAGCCTCAGGCCCAGTGGCTAGTGAGGGCTGACATCCTTGTGGCCAGATCCCAGGAGGCTAGCATTCCCATGAAACTGCAGGCTCCCCCATCGCTGATGTGTTGGTCTCCTCTGGAAGACTGAATCTGCCGCAGCTGTCTTCACAAAGCCCTAGTTCTTTGCTAGGAGAGAGAATTCCCCACCCCCAGTTCTGTCTAC